CTCCTCCTGCTCCTCCTCCTCCTCCTCCTCCTCCTCCTCCTCCTCCTCCCCCTCCAACTTTTGGTGTTGGTGGTGGGAAACAGGCCCATCACCTCCTTCTCGTGGCTCGTCGCGCCCCACCGGGTCCGACATGGACCGAGCGCGGAAGGACTGTGAACGTGTTCCCTTCCGCCCCCTTCACTTGCCGCCGCTCTCCTCGCGCTCCTCGTCCTCCTCATCCTCCTCATCGTCGTCGCTCTCTCCCTCTGCCTCGTCCCCCTCCTCCTCTTCGTTCTGTTCCTCCTGCACGCGGCTTTTCTCCTCCGTCGCGGTCCGGAGTGGGGATCTAGAGTTGGTGTCGGGGTTCGGGCCTCGAGCCGAGCCGCTGCGCTTGTCTTCATGTTCTGCCTGCTTGTGAGTCCCTCCGAGAGCCTGGCCTGCAAGGGTCCGCGTGGCTCCGTCCCCCCTTGGTACGACCAGCGTTGGAACAGCTGGAGACGGTGTACCGATTTGGGGACCCACCAAGCCTTCACTTCGTCCATGTCCTCGTCGTCGTCGTCCACCTTCTCAACCTCATCCTTCATATCGCCCTCTCGTCCACCATCCATATCGCCCTCCCCTTCGCTCCCTCTCTTGCTCCACTTGCCTCTGCCCCCGTCATTCCTTCACATCCCCCACTCCCTACCCCAGAGGAGGACGAGGAGGATGGACGGGAGGAAGGGAGGGAGGGAGAAAGATAGAGAGAGGGAGAGAGAGGGAGAGAGAGGGAGAGAGACAGAGACAGAGACATAGACAGAGGTAGGGGAAGTCTCTGCCGCGGTCGATGCGGGACCGCCTCGGCCGATGCCGCTGCCGCCCGACTTCGCCCCTGCGCCGCCAGCACCTGCTGGGTACCCTGCACATTCGGCCCAACACGCTGGCAGTGGTGCAGATGGTGTCCACCGCCATCTACGGCGCGCGCCCGCGCTTCTCACCGGGGGCGGCGAAGGTAGGAGGGCCGTGCGGCGACGGGGGCAGCGGTGACTGCGATGACGGCTCTGGGACTCTACGGCCACGCGCGCGCCCGCGAGGCTGCGCGCGTCGACGGCGGCGGCGACAGGGACGGCGGCGGTCGTGACGGCCCCTCGCTTTTCCTCGACCCCGAATGGGCCCCCAGGGAATTGGGTCCGGGCACCGATTTTTTGGTCGGGTGTGGGGCGAGGGGGGAGGAGGAGGAGGAGGAGGAGGAGGAGGAGGAGGAGGAGGAGGAGGAGGAGGAGGAGGAGGAGGAGGAGGAGGAGGAGGAGGGGAGGCCGTGCCCTCGAGGAGGGCCGCGTGGTGGAGGGGGCGGCCGTGCCGTGGGTGAGGGGGGCGGGCGGCTGCGGTCGGCTCGTGGCGGCATAGTGTTTGATGCGAGGTGATGCCCCGCGGGGGCCCGGCCGTCGAGCCTGGCTTCGGTGGCGAGGGAGAGGATGTCGATGGCGTAGGTGGTAGTCGTAATGAAGAGGTCGGAGGTGGATAGACCTCCTACCCTGACACGTCGATTCAGGAATCGGCCGTTTTCGGCTCGCGAGAGGGCGTCGCGGCCGTCATTGTTGCGGGTCCAGCTCCGTCGAATTCGGTCCCAGGCCATTTTTCACTAAGGGGAGGTTTATTATTAAAGGGAGGTTTGTCCACCGCCGAATGTCGATGGCGTAGGTAGTAACCGTAATGAAGAGGCCTGGTGATCAGGGGCAACAACATCCAAGCAGTGACGAAGCGCCACTTCCCGCTTATAGGCCTACCATCAGCCGCTTGCGTGTTGGGCAACATTTGGTCATGACGTTTCTGGTCGAGACAGTACTGGCTTGATTCGTTGGTCACATGTCATGTGAGCATTGCTCTTGTCATCAAAACATCTACTGTTTCAAGAACACATCGTGGTAGGCCTGCAGGAATGCTAGGACGGTCCCCCCCTGCTCAAAATTAGGGGGTTAGGTCCTCACCCAGGAGCGTGTGGTCTCGTTGTCGTCAGTTGATCGCAGGCACATCGGCGATGCATCGCTGGTTCCAGGCCGACAGTTTTTCCCCTGAGCCAGTCTCCCGCTACCGCCCCCCTCAAATGAGCGTCAAAACAAGACGAATAGACAATCTCAGGGCAACTCAGCAGGAGTCTGCATTCCCTGCACTACCTTCGTAATGCTCGATGTGCTGATTTGTCGTTCCCCTGAGATTGTCTACGGTAGGTTTGCGTCGTGTCGACCAGCGGCGACCCCAGCGCGGGCGTTCCAGGTTGAACGCCGCCAGCGACCCAGAATCGATCGATGTTGAACGATCGGACGTTGCGGCAGCGGCCGATCGTTCAAGGTTGAACGATCCCCGCGGTGTCAGAAACCAACGCTGGGGTCGGCACGACACGAACCTGCCGTACTGATTTGTCGTTCCCCTGAGATTGTCTATTCATCCTGGGGGCATGACGAATCCAGTGCATCGCATGATCACCATCGCTGGTCATCGCGGGAGCGGCGCGCGTCCTCGGTCGATGTTCAGGAGGGGGCAAACACACACACACAGACACCATGAATCGTCGATCCCCAGGAACGTATGGGGCAATGTGGGAAGTGGGGGAGAGGACAGAACACCCAGAAAATGTGGGAAAATATGGAGAATATCTCTATGTGTGTATTTACTTGTGTGTCCCGGGGCCCCTTCAGATATACGATGCAGGGGGCGTCCAAGCGTCCGTACTTTTAGGGCTGGATTTGATTCTCGGGCACATGTTTTGAGTGGGCCTGAGGAGACCATGGATGTCGCCCGTCCATGGTTGTATTGCACTCGATGGTCGTGCAGCTTCTGCCAGAAATTCCCTGCAGATTCATCTACACGAGGCTGGCTCTTTCATGATCGGACGTCGGCTGAACACACCTTTTCCTTCTAGGGCAACCGCGCGCTTACTGAGGAAGACATGGCTCAAGCCCACGGCTCAAGCGGTGCCCTGGCTCAAGAGACTTGGATTCATCGGCATGGACATGACGGGCATGAGGGCCTGCTGCCGCCGCGGAGGAGGCCGTGGATCCGCCGTTCGACCCTTGCCGAGTCCGTTTGCGAGGAGCCGCCCCCAGGCTGCTTCGACCAGCTCGTGTTCTGCCAGGCCGTCGACCACGAGGGCCTTCACGAGCGCAGCAGCTCCGAGCTGAAGCACGGGCACGTGGCCAGGATGGCAGCCTTCGAGACTACGTTCCAGCATTTCGTGAAGCCAGCGCCCGGTTTCGAGGGCACTCTGTCGGTCTCTGGGCGCTCACCGACCCCTTCGGCGGCGGTTGCAGCGACGAGATCTGGAACGAGCGATGTTCTCGGTCATGCGCATCCTAGTGGCGAGGATCGCCACTGGCAAGGACTGTATCCAGCATTCCAGCCTCTGAGCAAGGCGCCTGAGGCTGCAGCGGCAGAAGGTGTCTGAGAGTGGCGCCGCGTGAACGAGATGCCTCATCCAGAATTGTGCTGGCCCCGATAGCGATTGCAGAATTCGCGCGTGGTTTCCTTCAATACGCCGAGAGCCGAAGCGTGTGGCCGAGCGCTTGCGGCTAAGAGGACGGCCCAGCCTTGAACAGTGCCATCCCCGACGCGGAAGCGCCTGGCCGGTCACAGACAGACGCCAGCAGGCGCCCGGCACACATTCTCGCGCTACCCCAGGGCTTTGTGCCCTCCTTACCTCGCGCCCCCTACGTAGCTCCTGGGGGAGCGCCGTCGCCATCACAGCACGCAACCTTCAGGACAGATGTACATCTGTTCGTCGTGCAGCCTGGCGACCTTGCACGTTTGAAGATCACAGTCAAGTTCCAGCATTCCGCTTGAAGGGCTCCCACCGCTGAAGTACAGTCGTTCCTTGGGGTCCTCATAACGTATTCTCTCGGATTCACGCCAGTTCACTCGAGGCCAAGGGGGCTGGACGTGGCAGTCGCGGGCGCATGTGACCTCCAGCTCCTCGCGGGGCCCGAGCACAATGGGCCGCTGCGGCTCACCTCGACAAGCTCCTGGCCGTTGTACAGGTGTGATCCTGGCTGTTTGTTTTTTGTTGCTCCTTCTCCTCCTCCTCCTCCACTTCTTCTCCCTCCTTTCCCTCCCGATCCATCTCTTCCTCGTCTTCAGTTCCACCGTCATAGTATTTCCTGCTCTGCCGCACCGTCCCCGTGGAGTGTGGAAGCGCCCCTGCGGGACATGGGTGGCTGGAGACGGCGTTGTTGCGATCGGAGGTGAGTGCGCTTGTTCCTCCTCGGGACAGTCTGCGGTCCATCACGGGCGGCTGGCGATTTTGATCCGTAGTTCCAGTCAGCCACTATCTGTTTCAACGAAACGAATCAGTTCCAACCCGTGCGCGTCAGACACGCCGTCGGCGTGTCGGCAAGGGTGTTTTGTTTTGCGTGCATGTCTGCGGTGATCATGTGGTCTCTGGATACATGTACGCGCTGGCATCCTTCGTTTTTCTTCGTTGTGTACGTATTACCTGTTTTGCTGTCTTTTTCCCCTCGTATCCGGACAAGCATTGCATGGTGGACACCACTTCCTTGTAGTTGGGACGTTTGTATGTTTCTTTATCCGAGCTGCACCTCGTTCCCGTTACTAGCATTCAGAAACATCAATTGGAAGCAGGCACGTGTTGCAATACACGCGCAGCTGACGAGCATCACGTCGACAGTCTAGGTCGACGTCGCATCTGCACGGTTTGCCCCAGACGTACCCCTCGCAGTTGTGGATACGAGCGGTTTCTTCGTCCTCGTTCGTGTCCTCCTCCACCACTCGTCCTCCTCATCCTCCTTTTCCTCCTCCTCTTGCTCCTGCTCCTCCTCCTCCTCCTCCTCCTCCTCCTCCTCCTCCTCCTCCTTTTCCTCCCTGTCCCTCCACCTCCCCCCCCCTTCCCGTTCCCTCCCTCTTCCCCACCCCCTCATCCCTTCCCTCATATTGTCCTCCCTCCCTCCACCGTCCCGCCCCTCCCCTCCTCCCCCTCATCTTCCTGCCCCCCATGGAAAACCTCCCGCCCCCCTCTCCTCGCCGGGCTGCGCGTTCCCTGCTCGGTCCTTGTCGCCCCCGGCCCCGTCCAGGGGCGTTGAAGACCGTCGACTTCAGGAAGTGTGCGCGAGACGTTGCGGAGGCACCGCGGGTCTGCGTGGGGGAAGTGGGGACAAATGCGGGGGGGGGGGGGTATAGGATCAGGGAGGGGAAAAGGAGGAAGAGGGGAGGGCGAGGAGGAGAATGAGGTGGAGGAGGAGGACGGGAACGAGGAGGAGAGGACGACGGGGGGAGGGGAAGGGGTGGAGGGATGAGGCACACCCCCCACACGTTTCGCGGCTATGGAAGCTCCATCGAAGGCCCCAGTGGCAGGGTCCACAGGCGGTCCCCCGCCCGTGTGGACACACCTTGCACACGTTACGCCGCCCCACAGGGGGCTCCGCCGGCGGCCCCAGCGGCAGGGCCCACATGTGGTCCCCCGCCACTTTCGACACACCTCGCACACGCTCCGTGGCCCCATAGGCTGCTCCATCGAAGGCCTCAGCGGCAGGGTCCACGTGCGGTTCTCCGCCCGTGCGGACACATCCCTCACACGTTTCACGGGAAGCTCCACCGAGGGTCCCAGAAGCAAAGTCCACGTGCGGTTCCCCGCCCATATCAGCACACCGCTCACACATTTCGTGGCCCCATGGGAGCTCCACCTAAGGTCCCAGTGGCAAAGTTACGATGCGGTTCCCCGCTCATGTCGGCACACCCCTCACACGTCACGCGGCCCCATAGTGAGCCCCACCGAAGGTCCCAGTGGCAGAGTTTCCTCTCGGTTCCCAGCTCATGTCGGCACACTCATCACACATCACACGTTGCGCGGCCCCGTAGGGAGCGCCACCTATGGTAAAGTTTGCATGCGGTTCCCCGCCCATTTTGGCACACCCTTCACACGTTGCGCGGCCCCATAGGCGGCTCAACCGAAGGCCGCAGTGGCAGGATCCACATGCGGTTCCCTGCCGATGTGGGTACACACCCCACATGGTTCGTGGCCCCATAGGCAGCTCCACCGAAAGCGGCGCCCCCAACGCGGCACTCAAATTGCATATGATTGGGTCCTTCGCCAAAATAGTGTTGTGCTACATGGGATCTGAGGGCAGGGCCTCAATCAGGTGGGGCCGGGATCCGGATAAACCGTTCCAGAGCGTTCCGGAGCGCTGCGCTCTCCCCGAGGTGTCCCGGTCCGATCTTGCCCCGGTCTTGGCGTCGTCGTACTCTTATATCGGAAGCTGGAGCATATACATTACCAGTGGCGGGCTGTTTTTCAATCCCAGAACTTTTTGAGGGTCGGGGACGACGACGGGGTGGTGTGGTGTATTTTTGTTGTCCCATTTCCCGGGGGGAACATCAAAACATGGCCGCACTGGCTCAGGCCGCACTGGCTCAGGCCGCACTGGCTCAGGCCGCTCGAAGGCCCCCGAACAGGAGCCCTGCCAGGGGTGGGGTGCCGTCTCTTACTTTTCCTCACCATCCCAGCTTTTCCCTCTTACGACCATTCCGCGCGTCACCCCCGTTTCGCCCCGGCGACCGATGGCTGCTGCTGCCGCTGTGGTGGCTGCCGCGCCGGCCTCCACCCAGGCGGTGGGCGGCATCCCTGCAGAGGACGACGGCATGCAGGGCGACATCATGCAGGACACTACTTTATCTCAGCGGTTGGCGGACACCTCGTTGACGGAGACTCCTCCGGGACTGCCTGCCCCGCCGCAGCCTCAGCACATCGGGGTCTCGGACCATCTGTTCGCCTCTTACGTTGAGGACTGCATGAGCAGCGACTTCGCGGTGGTGGCGACGGGCCAGGAGATGGTACACCTCACGCCTCGGAGTCAACTCAGCACGTGGACGAGCTTGGAGGGCGTGCTCCGCAACCTTGGCTTCCACACTGCGCACACGGACGCCTGGGTGGCCTTGGGGGTCGTTCCATAACGCAGCGGGAAGGAGCAGGTGACGGCGCTGCAACGGCGACTCGAACTGGCTCGCACGTTGCTGACCCTTGCCGACGCCCAGCGGTGGCCGGAGGGGGACGTCGAGCAGGCTGACGCGGCCGCTGGCCGTCTGGAGGCCGCTGCGGACAGCATCAGGCGGGAGCTGGCGAGCACGGGAGGGCGTGGTGGTCTTCGTGCCCCTCCGCGGCGGCTATGCCAGGAGCTGGGGACCATGGGCCTCGCCTTCCTCCACACTCTCCGGGCGGCGGACAGCGTGATTGGCACGCAGTGCTCGAATCATCTCGGGCTGACGGCGGCACAGCTGACGCCGGCGCTCTCGGCAGGAGAGGCAACGGATATGTGCCTTGCCCTGTGCTCCTCCGCATCTGACGCCTGCTGGACACGCCTGGCCGGCAAGGAAGTGATCCTGTGGTCTCCTGCCGCTGCTGAAGACTTCGGCCGCCTGCTTGGGGGCTTTGTGCGCCATCTGGGGCTGGGCCACCGCGGCACTACGCTGCAGCTCGTGTGCCCCCTCGACGAGTTACCCGGCTGCTCCACGCCTACTGCGATCTTGCAGCATTGGGCGCACCCAGGCTTGGGAGAGCGCTGGGCGGGAGTATTGGCCAAGGTGGAGTTCATGCTACAGCCGCTGGAGCAGGTCAGCCCTGGCGGCCGGTTTGCGCAGGTATCGTGGCGACCGGTGGGCCTGCTCACCTTCCAGCACGAGGCGCTGCTCACGCTGCCGACGACGCTGACGATGGAGGAGCCCTGGAAGCAGGTCGCGGTGGGGCAGGCCACCATAAATCTTGATTTTCCGTCGCGTGCCGAAGCCCAGGCGCTCGAAGCGGCGGCTGCAGTTCTGGCAATGGGTTGGGGGCAATCGGAACCCCGCCGAAGCCCTGCTTCGCAGAAGTCGGACCCCCGACTGCGCCTCACTTTATACTCTGGCGAGGCCTCTTGCACGGCCCTGGACGCGGCCGTCTTCGCACGTGAACTTCATAAGCTGCTCCTGCCAATGGGGGGCGTCGCTGCCCGCGGCGACATTTTCATGGACGACACAGCGCTTATCATGTCCACCACGGGTCCGGGAGCCTTCACGGTGGCGGGGGGCAATTGCTTGGAGCTGCTTCCGCTCAGCACGAGGACAGCCGTGGCTCGCACCAGTTTGGACGAGACAAGGTGGGAGGAGGACATGAGGAACTGGCAGGCCGCAGACCCGCAGCGGTGCCTTTACCACCTTCGACACAAACGACTTGTCAACGAGGGGGGGCTGTGGGTCTCTGCTCCCGGGACGGCGAACGTCCAGCGGCAACGTGCGGCCCGCACTGATGAGGTGTCGGCTCGCCTCCTGCTGCAGCTGCATGGCCCGCCTGGCCCCCGGCCCGACCTCGTCGTGCAGGCGGCGGGCGACATGATCCACAGGGCGCTGGGCCAGCAGGTGCGGCGCATACACCAAGATGAGGCTCTGGAAGCTTACACCCTTCGGCCCGAACGTGGCACGGTGGCGGGCGCCCTCACTGGCCGGTTGGAGCTGGCTGTCCGCCCGCCTGCCGAAGCCCGCCATTTGCATGAGCGGCTCCACGGCAGGGGCCTCCAGCTTGGGGTCGATTTGGTTTCCCTGGAGGTCCAGCTCACTCCGCTTGCAGCTCGGCCGGGAAACGGCCGCCGGTGCTAGGCGACCCAGCCGGCCTGCACCGGAGCCCATTCGAGGCTGGTGATCTCTATATATTGTCCTCATCCGTTTTGGAGTGAGGCGGGTGGCTTCCACCCTCGGTGAGCAAGCTCCGCGCCACGCAGCGCCGACCCTGCCGCCGGCGGCCGTGCCGCCGCGTCTGGCAGCATCGCAGCCGCCGCCGCCGCCGTTGCAGCCCCCTCGATTGGCCCCTTCTCGGGGGAGCAGTGGCTTGGGACCGTATGCGGGCGACTTCAGAATTGCGACTTGCAATGCCCAGGGGCTCTTCGCGGCCTGCCCGCAAAGCCGCCGTGAAAAAGCAGCCCATGTTCGGCGCCTGCTGCGGGACCACGACTCTGTCATCGTCACGGAGACGCACGCATTCGACCCCTGAGGTTGAGGCGCTCCACTCCCGCAGTGGTCAAGCTTACTTCGGCGAGTTTACGGCTTTCTGGGCGCATGGTTATGCTGCCAGGGCGGGAGTCGGCATCATTGTAACACCTGCGTTCTTGCGGCGCTTTGCGCTCAGGGCTGACTGGCGGGTTCTGGTGCCTGGGAGGGCCGGCGAGCTGTGGCTCAATGGGGACATGGGTGATCTATCATTGTTCGCCGTTTATTTCGGCACGGGCCCCGATGAACTCGACGAGGAAAACGCCACGATCACAGCCAGGACCTCCAGACACAGCATTCGCCGGGTGCTGGCGTCCCACATCGCCCCGGGCTCGCGGCGCCTCAGCTTGGTGTTGGGCGATTTCAATTGGGTTGCGGATGGTTTGGGGCGGATTCAGATCGAGGGGCAGGTGCCGAGTGGAGGGCGGGACAGGGGGAGGAACAGCACTGGGCGCAGCAGCTGCAGGGCACCGACATGATCTTGTGGCGGCACACAGCATCCCAGACCTCCTGGCGTCGTATTTTTTTCATGACGCCCCTCTTGTAATGAATGTTCTGTGATGTCTTGATTTTTTGTTACACGTTTCAACGTCTTGATTTTGGCTCAATTGACAGCGCCTTGTCAGCCCTTGATAACCACTGAGAAGCCTTGACATCCACGGCACCCATGGATTCCCGTTGTGAACCTAATTGGCCGAGCGGATTTCGGGTGACCCGCGCAGTGGGCGGGTCACCCCCGCGCGCGGGTGACCATGGTCACCCGCGCGCGCGCGTAGGGAGTTCTGTATCGTCCACAACAGAGAAGTCGGCGCGTCCGTCGGCCTCCAATAAAGAGCCCCAGAAATTTTGAATTCAGTTTTTGGCATCACATGTCGACTTCTCCATTGTGGACAATACCGAACTCCAACGCCCGCGCGCGCGCGTAGGGAGTTCTGCATCGTCCACAACAGAGAAGTCGGCGCGTCCGTCGGCCTCCTCAAAGAGCCCCAGAAACTTTGAATTCAGTTTTTGGAATCACATGTTGACTTTTCCATTGTGGACAATACTGAACTCCAACGCGCGCGCGCGCGCGCGGGTGACCATGGTCACCAGCGCGCGCGTAGGGAGTTCTGT